ATAGAAAAAGTGATAAATAAATCTATTAACCAATCATTAAGTCACTCGCTGAGTTAGGAATCCCAGTTATTTATTATGTCATATTTATAAATTTAATTTTTTATTTATTTAGTTCATTTTAATTAGTTAAATTCCCACTTTTAAGTCATGCTAATTTTTACACCCTGGACACGTACTTAAATCAAAACAAATTTCACTTACCATTTTCTTCTTCACCCACCAAATAACACAAAAATACGCTTAAACTAATCTTAATTATGCATATACAAATAGTAATTAGAAATTGAAAGATGAGAATAAGAACTAAACTTTTTTATTATTCTTCTACATGAGACATATGAACAATTTGGATGACTTTAATCGATTGGTTTAATAGGGATTACAATGTTCCATTGTAGTGAATTTTACCAAGTTACATTATTATAATTCTCAAACGTGTTTTGGTTCATGAGACAACTTAATCGGTTAGTTAGGTTTTAAACCACTTTATTTGCGTCCTTGTTCACAAAAGTTGGTTCTTCTTTATAAATTAATGTTTACGTCTTTATTTATCAAAGTCTTTTTCAATTTTAGATATTTTAATATTTTTTCTATATTTTTAATTTGATAAGAACAAGCTAATGTCATGGATGTAACACGAAGATTAATTATGACAAGACATAAATAATTGACAAACTACAATTTTTTTGTTAGTCAAACAAAGTATGTATTTTATAAGAGAAAATGGTACAAGTAGTATTGAATCCTAAAGAATTACCATATATTATTTTATATTAAAAATATATTTTTTTCGTATTAGACTGCAATGAAGTAGAGTTAAAATCAGCAGACAAAATTTAGAACTTGGGATATTTCTTTCACAATAAAGATAATATTTTTTTCTACCATATTAAACAACTATCATTCCTAAAACATTATATTATTTAATGATGATTATGTTTTTAATAATTTTTTATTCATGATTTGAATTTCTAATAGTTATAAAAAATATAAAATTTCAATTATTTTAGAGAAAAAAATAACCATTATATTGATTAAGTTAAAAATTATTTGAGTTAAATTAATTTATGAATATAATTTAAATTGATTTTTAGCCTCAGTTGTCAAGATTTTAATTACTAATTAAAAAACAAATTAAAATTTAATAATTCAGAGTCTAATTTTTAATTAATAGTTAAAATTATAAATTAATTTAAGTTATAGTTCAAAAATAAATTTAATTAAAATAATTTTTTACCTTAGTCAATATAATAATCATATTTTTTCTAATCTCTAATTAAGTCGATTTTTAATAGAAAAATTGTAATGAATGATGGGGCTTTAGAAAAAAAAATCATTTATAAAAACTATACTTGATATTTAATATTTTTTAAATAAGCGTAGATTAATTAGTTGTGTTTAGATTTTAATTCAAAGTACAATATTAATCAGACTTAAAACTGTTGTATTTATTTTTTTAGAAAAATACTTACAAGATTTTTTTTTCATAATACTAACTTATGTATTAGGTGAAAAGTGGAAAAAATTATGATTTTTAATGTATTTTTATATGATATTTTTAAAATATAAAGATTTAATAAAATATATTTAATAAGTATAATAAACTAATATTTTTATGATATAATAAATTTATTAATAATAATTTTATTACAATTATAAACTATAATGATAATTGCACATATAAAATATAATAAAGAGAAAAAAATAGATAATTATTAAAATAAAATTAAAATATAATAAAATAATTATTATTTAAAATTAACGTGATGAATGAGAAATATTATATTTTTTATAATAAATATATTTTTACTAAAACGGGTTCAAATATTTGAGCTATTTTGTTTTTTTAATTTTATCGATTTTATATAAGTATTTCTAGGTATTTTTAGTTTATACTAGTTTAATTAAAATTTAATTATTTAAAAGTATTGTTTAACATGATTTTCAAGACATAAATTTCAATATACTTTTAATTTAATAAAACAATTAATTCAGTCACTTCTTAATTTAGTAGTAGTAGTGTTGGAAAACTTATTGGTGACACCCAAATCTATAAATGCAAAATTTTCAAACGCAAGTTTCTAAGATAAGTTAATGGTTACATTATACTAGTTAAGTCACTCCACCAAATTTAAATTAGCGTTTCGAGAACGAATCCACGAATTTAGTAGTGATATCATTAGTGTGTAAAACTTTCCATCTTCACGAAACTTCAGTATATTATTACATCGTTGAAGACTAAGATGCACAAGTAACATGATTTTCCACTTCCAATGTTCCTCTGTTTTGGCTAAGGTGAAACACTTCATAACCTTTGACTATCATACGTCAAACAGTAAAATTCTAAACGAAAAAAGAGGAAAATGAAACAGAACACAGATCATGGGATTCACATTTCACACAGACATAACCCAAATTTAATGTGAATACAAGATGCTGGTCTACTTTGTTGCCTATATGAACGCATTGGGTGAATTAATTGAACAATTTATGTGGATATATTTAAGATTGGAGAATTGGTCATTCATTTGGGTGACTATGACCAAAACCAGTTGTTAATTCGATTGCGTACGTTGTTGTTCAAACGTGATGAGAACTTGACACGAACATGTATGGTTTATATGCAGAACTTATCCCTCTATGGCGTTATGCACACGACATTCATCAATTCATGTTCTCCATTTGAACTACTCATAAACGAATCGTGACCATGCTTGAATTTCGTAATGAAAGTCTACAAATGATGCACCCAAAATTGGCCAAGTCTTAACTCAAAGATATATAGCAGACATTATGGTAGATGCATTTTTTGAATTTGTGAAAGAACAAAAAGAAAGGAAAAATTTGAAGAGCCTAAAATGATAGAAAATTTGATAACGTGGAAAATCACTGATATCAGTTATTTATTTGTGATTGATTGAACATGTTCTGATTGAGAGATAATATATATATTAAAGTAATCAAAGAATGTTGATAAAGTCCAGAAGAAAAGAAAAGATACAGTATCCCACGATTGTATTATTTTACATGACCCACCAAAAAAAGCTTCTAGAATGAGGAGTAGAGATTTAAAGTGTACTTAATATGATTTCTAGATAGTAATTGAGTAGAGATTAATTTGTCCAATTGAATTTAGTATGTTAATGCGTTGTATCATGTTTTTTTTTTCATGTTTATTTTTAATATGAAATTAAAGGTGTAGAAAACGTGTATACAAACCCTCAATATAAAATATTTTCCCTTTGTTCTTGGTTATTTTCCATTTTAATGTTTGACCTGAACCTAGGAAATTAAAGTTGATATAAATAATAAATTCCTCCATAGACCCTATCACCTTAAGTTTAATAATTATCCAGAGACTATAAAGTTCCAAAATTTCCTTTTGAATGAAAAAAAAGCACTTTAAAAAGTAAAATATATGACATTTGTTGATATAATATAATTGAAAATTGTAACAAGAATCTATATTTATCGGAAAACTTTTCATGTATTCAATAAAAGTCATCTTCTGTCGCATTATCACATTACGTGTCGATAAATTTTTTTTTTTTTAAATGCCTGTGAAATAACTATGTTGATTATTCTCTGTAATAAAACTATTTATTTTACATGAGTCAAATTTAAAAAGGAAATTCTATCTTCTTTTGACCGGTAAAATAAAGTCAAAATTACTTATTTATCATAGTATATATTATTTTTAAATTCTATTCAAAAGTAAATTTTAGCTTTTTTTTAGGTTTTGTTTCATATTCAAGTCTCATGTTATGAACTCTTATATTTTATGATTATTATGGATATTCTGTAGAACCTTTTATTTTTATCATATTTTAGGTCTAGTTTATAAACTCCACTTCTCTCTTCATCTTTTAATTTTGTTCTTGTGTTCCAACAGCTTTTATGAACAATTACACCTTTTCTATAATTTAAGATTAAGTTCTTCAAGGATTGACATATCTAATCATGCATTGTCCTCTTTTTTTTTTTTTTTTTAATTATTGTATTGTTTGCTTTACATAAAGGTGTTTGCCCCAAAAATCAATTAGGATAGTGATTATCCGTTAATCCTACTGTTTTCATCATTATTTTTGCTATATGCCATTTTTTTCCCTCTTTATTGTATGTTTTAATTTCATAAAAGAAATAGTTTTTGCGAATTCAACTATTCTCACTGTTTCGCTTAAATTATTTTCTAAAAACTAAAAACAGTGAGCAAAAAATTTGTTGGATCACACCCATCAATTTGATCCCCTCCCCCTTCTTTTTTATGTTTAATATTCAAAGTTAAAGCTTGAAAATAAAGTAGAAATTGTTTAATAATAACGAAAAGATCCGTTTCACTGTCTTATGTATAAGAAGGATAAGGGAAAGAGAAAGACCAACTTCTATAACTTATTTTGAAATCCTTCATTAGTTTAAAACGAGAGACATAATGTATATAATTTAATTTTTAAGTTTACTTCAACTAGAAATTACCGACCAAGCAAGAAAAACCTTATTTTAGGAATGAAAACGAGTTAATTAATCATGGGATTAAGACAAATATTGTCTCTGCAGTGTGGCCCCATGCACATATAATAATACACACAAAATCAGAATCTAAGATTGCAATACCAAGTTATTTAGCTGGTGGCAACCAAAAATATCTGTAGTTTGAAAGTTTGAAATCAAATACATATCTCCATATTACTTTTCCATGTAAACCTTGAGATTGCATACATATATATAAAATATTCTAGCATAGACTATGAGCTGTGTGAGGCTCATCACAATCACGTCCACACCAACTGATAACAAGCAAATGTTCAAACCAACTCTTACGTGCAGGAAACTCCAACTCAATTTTTTTTACACTTTTCTGGTTTCATTGGCTTTCCCTCAGGTCCATATCCATCTATATATATTTGCACGAGATCATTGTTCAACTATCCTTATCTTCCTCCACTGTGTGTCATCACCAGGTGCTATCTAAACCAAGTTAGGAAGCTACCTTGCAAAGCAACATGGCTTCTACAGACAAGCCTGCAGACACTGAATACAGATCAAGTTTATCAACTCCAGCTCAGGCAGCTGGTGTTGATTACTTTAAATTTGATGTCATCCTGAGATTTTTCTTGTTTGCAGCATCACTGGTATCTGTTGTGGTCATGGTCACTGGTAATCAAACCAAATTTCTTCCCTTTCCACGGCCAGCCAAGTTCAGATACTCACCAGCCCTTGTGTAAGTTAGAGAGTTATTCAAATTTTTAGCAGATTTACTATATTTATTGTAACCGTTGGATAAGTTTCTCAAACTAATACTAGTACTAAAAAAAGTGATTTTTTTTTTATAAATTAAATTTAACTTGTATAATATCTGATAAAATCTTATCCATTTAGATAATTGCACGATGTTAAGAATCAAAACTTTTGCATAAAGTAATTTATATTTTGCTTCAAAAAATAATTTTAATACATGTACAAATTAGTTTTAATTCATAGTTTAGATAGAATTTTATCCAAATATATTTAGAGAAAGAAGTGCTGCAAGTGTCTTTCTAATGCATCTTTATTGCGGATATTAAACTTACGAAACTTTCCTTATATGATAAAAGAAAATCCTTAATTTAAGAGACTTATAGGGATGTAGCTAGAGAAATTGGTAGACACAAATAAGGAATACTGATACTTCCTTAATTAGTTGTAAAAGACAGAAAAGAGTGGTAGGTTCCAATGTATTGGCCATTAGATGGGGTTTCAAATGAAGAAGCCGACGCTAGCTATGTATTTTTCTCCCATTTGAAGGGTTATTGCTTTCTGTTTTTTATCTTATTTCCAACAAATATGGTCAAAAGCTAGCCAAAACCTTTCATGTTAATTTTTCTTTAGTTTATTACATATAATATTCAATATGAAATGGTTTCGGATTGTTGATGTTTTTTCCTCGTGAAAGTACATGAAAACGATGAAATTTCAAACCGCTGTCTACTTTATGTACTATATAATATATCCATATGATAAAGTGCTTGTAGAGGGGAAATTGGTATTTTTCTTTGTGAACATGCATGAAATTTTCACACTGCCGTTGTTACTTAATGTAGCATCTAAAACTGGACAAGTTCCAAGCTAATAAGGAGTCAAAGTCGTCCATGATGTATTGTTTTTTCTCAGTTCTAATTTCCTGATGTCATGATCTATAGGCGTTCTTTATTTTATTTATAAATCCAAAGTCTTCTATTTTCATACATCTATTAAATTATTTATTATAATGCCTTGTTCTCACCGATACTTCTTTTGTCAAACAAGTCTTCTTAATATTACTTGATATTATTATGGAGTTGCAATTTGACATGTAATGTGATTGATATGTACATGCAGATACTTTGTGGCTGCATTATCAGTTACTGGCCTTTACAGTATCATTACAATTCTTGCATCACTCTATGCCCTTAAAAATCCAGCCCTTAAAACGAAGTTGCTCCTCCACTTTCTCTTATGGGATGCGGTAATTAATCTAATAAACCATTTTTCTTTACCTTGCTATTCATCCTCTCTTCTCAATTCACTTGTTTTCATTTATATATCAACGCATAACAAATGATTGAATACCATGCTTCTTTGCAGCTTATATTAGGGATAATAGCCTCAGCAACAGGCACAGCTGGGAGTGTAGCATATCTGGGTTTGAAGGGAAACGACCATACCGGCTGGGTTAAAATTTGCAATGTTTATGATAAGTTCTGTAGACATGTTGGTGCCTCCGTAGCAGTGGCTTTGTTTGGAAGCATTGTGACAGTCTTGCTCATTTGGCTTTCAGCTCACAGCATTCATAATCGAGTCCCCAAGTAGATGGAAAGAACATGGATCATGCATTCTGCTATTCGCGTCTTCGTTTATAGTTGCATTGTTACAAAGTTAGTGTGCTCAGCAATTGTTAAGAGTGTGTAGATGACTTGATGTTTTGTTTCAGCTGTGTTGATTATTTTTTGTAAATCAGTGTTCTCCCTCAAGGACCTCAGTTGTATTATACATGACATTCGTGCTATAAATGATTTCAAATTTTTCATTATACATTCTCCCTCAAAAAAAATAAAAGAAAAGAACATCGTGTATAGATGCTTGAAAGTCACTGGAATTAGAAGCTAATGCTGCAATTACTAATGATTAATATATTTCAACCACAAAACGAGGATTTTCCCTACGGAAGCTATAACATTTGCTGCAAACATACTAAATCAGCGTAACAAGTGACATTACCATAACCTTCAAACCCTTTTTTCATTTTATAAGGTGCTGGCATAAATCAAGTTTGTGAATTCTTAGCTTATATACGGAGTTCAAATATGCCAATAAGCATCATGAACTTGTCAGTCTCTTATCTTTGATGACATTCTATGTATGTATTATTACAACAGAGTTTGGAAACAAACTATGCACATATTAATGCTGAATTATTGATGGCTATTACTGCTTTAGTTGATGTCCCTACAACTATTCCCATCTCTGGGACCAATGTGTTGATGTACGACCAACCACAGAGATTTGAACACGTAAAACCTCATGAATAGTACCTCGGCGAAGCACTCCCAAAACATGCTCATCATCTTCTGTTGCCAAATCTGCCAATGAAACCCACCGAGAATGTGTTTCATCCCTCATACGGAAGCCATAGAACCATCTACCAACTTTCCACCACTTGACGCAGACACGCCTATCTGAGATCTCATGAGTCCGAAGGGTTTCTATAAGATTATCACCCTGCCAATTAAAATGCTTACATATCAAATACATACCACTCTGGTCTAGTCCTTCACAAGGTTTCATATGTTCGAAGTCCACATAATTATGAGATACATCTATTCAATTAAATATTCTATGCATTGCAATATCTTATATATAACAACTTCCAGGTAAAAGCCTTCTTGGGAAGAGGAAAAAATAATTGGGAAAATATATATTACAGATCATGGTTTACCTTTATCCTATTTATTTCTCTAAGGGGGGATCAAAGAATAAAGAATAGGGACTAAATTTAAAGGAAAAGGGAAACAGGTAAAAGATGAAAAGACACCACTTATTTCTAAAGGTTTCAAAGATGCAAACTTGGGAACAAAGCAACGAATGACAAACATGAAATGCACACAAGTAACTTCGAGCATGTATCACAGGGATTGTATTTTTTTTTTCCTAAACATTGATATTATTAACCTACATAAAACTGATAAAAAGATATTTTATTTGATTGACCAAAGATTATGCATAGCCATGAAAATGTTGAAGCTTTAAGGAAACCGATAAATAACTTTCCAAATTAAAAGTGGTGAAACGAACTAGCACAATAAATTTTGCAAAGATGTTACCTTAGATAAACTAGAATAAACGCAGTTAATGTAACCAACAGTTTTGCAGATTCACATTTGGCAAATGTTGAACCATATTTATTCATGTTTTCTAGTTGCAGCCTTGCATCAAATAAAAGTAGGGCATATATACCATTGGCAATATGCCAGAGACAGAGTTTGATAAATTCATGCATAGCAAAAGTAATAGTTATTACCAAGAGACACCAAGTTAACCAATGATGAAGCAAATTCGTTTTGAAAGGAACCTAAAACGTGTTGAATCTCAAGTAGGAGTATATGTAGTCAAACTGTAAAAAAACAAGGAAAATTGGGATGTACTCTCCTATTTAAGAAGAGAAAAATAAGAAGAAAAAATTGAAATGAGTTTCTCCATTAAAAAATAAAAGTTTAGAAAAACTACATGAGAGAGCTTATACAAATTAACTTATCCATATGTTATAAAGAAACTAATTTCATTTTTTCTTCTTCTTATTCTCTCGTAAAAGTTTTTATTGAGAAGTTTGTTCATACAAGTCCCTAATTATTGATTTCTTAACTAGGATACCAGTAAGCGTGAACCATAAAACAAATCAAAATAGGGTGTCAAAGAATGGGAATACCCGAATCCCAAGGATTGTGAGGCAATAGTATACCCCAACCAAATTAATCAGCACATTTGTTCGAGGGTCGAACAAGAACCTCTGCACGTCTTCAAACCCAAAGCTCGTGCCAATCAGGGTGTCAACAGCTTTCAGATGGTCCCCAACCTCAAGTGATTCAGAACGTGAACAAGCTTCCACAAACTTCACAACAGACCTTGCTCTCACCCCCAATTCCACGTGCCTATCCAAGTACAATTTCCTCCACTTCTGTAACCCAATTTCCAAACAAACAATTACCATACAACCACCAAATCATCAACACCATGTAACCATTATTCAGTGGAGTTTAATTTTTTATATAGTGAAAGTGAAGGTTTTTACACCATGCTAAGATAACTTTTGAGGTAATTATTGCAAATATCAATAAAAGTACGATTCCAGAAAATTATAATTCGTTGATGGTGTATTTTTTTATTTTTTTTTTAATTTTGCTGATGCATGTTCTGTTTACTCAATTTAATCACAGGTGATCAAGTTCTTTCCAACAAAGTTTAGAAAAAAGTTGAACACAGAAGAAAGAAATAACAAATTTAAGGCTTCGATACCCAGAGTCCCAATCCAGAAACCAATAAAGAAAAGTACCAAACTTCGATTAAATAAGGTTGAAAAACGAATAGGGTGTTCCTCCAAAAAAGAGGAGAATCAATGAATACCTTTACATTGGGAGAATGAGGGAGAGTAGAAGAAGAAGGGAAATGAAAGGACGAGAGTAAAGGCCATCTATTTCTGACAAGAGATTCCCAAATGCAATCTGAGAAGCACAGTTCCCTCCAGAACCTCGAACAACAACCTAAGGCACACAAATCCCGCACCTTTTTTTTGGGTTTTTTTGCACCAAATTGAAAACAATACAAAGGGTCAAGTAAAATCGAAGCTTTCCTATGTCAGGAAAATTGAAATTGGTGATCAGAATACATTATGTAAAAGGGAACCTGAAGCAATGAAGCAATTTTGAGGACAACATCTTCAGGAAGGGAACTGAAGATGGAAACAGAATCTGATTTTCCTCTGTGCATTTGCAAATGGACGGATCGGTGTTATACTTATTCGGCGATTGCAGTGTTGATTTAACGGTACAATGAAAAGGAAACAAAAGGGAATGATATCCTTTGTCCAATTTCAACCAACACCTATCACATGGCGAGAGTGAATCCACGACTTCTGTGATCTAAATCATTCTGCTATCTGAGTTTTTTCTGGTTTTTTCCTAGAAAAAGCAATTAAGGACTTTGCCACTGTCCAGAATTTGGTCAAAGAAAAAAAAAAATGACTTGTGAAGGCAAAAAAGTGGCATTAATTTTTTATTTTTTTTTATGTTTAGTTAGACAGTTGAAAATAAATATACGTGATGTGTAAGACATCTTTATCCATCCTCCTTCAGTTTTTTTGTAATACTATTTCAGTGTTTTTTTTTTTAATTTAATATATCCGTGTGTACTTATTGTTACTAACATATAATAAATCACAAATTAACATGTATATATAATAATGTTATATTTTCATAAAACTAATATAACTTTTGCATGGTTGATAGTATAAAATTTACACTTCTAATGAATAAAACTAAACTTACTTTCATCCAAATTGGTTATTACTGAAACAAAACAAAAAAAAAAACAATTTGTGATTCTTCAATTTTAAGGTGTTGGAAATATAAAGTTGTAATTTAATCTTCTACAGAATGTCATAATTTGATTCAGTCTATAAAGTTTATAAATTGTGAATATTGTTTTGGTTGAAAACTAAACCATAAATGAAATAAATTAGAATGTTATACATCATAATCACCCAATAGTTTTGGTTTGTCAAAGAAGAAGCGTAGAGGAACATGTATTTTGCTCTTTTGAGCATGTGGTGTGATGGAGTGAAGTGTGGGTTTCTTGCTCTTATATCTTCACACAATTTGGTTGAAAATGTCTTTTATAGCACTTAATACAGTTTTTATATGAACAGATAGATAATAGATGCTGACTCTGAAGAAAACAGATATACAAGTCCTACGTGGATCAAACCAAGAAATGGAGCAAGAAGTCTTAAAGTAGTTCTCTTTTTTCAACGATTGTGCAAGTCAATTTGACCTTTCTTCGTAAAAACTTTCTGTACATAAATATCTTACAATATTTTTTTCACACACAAAGACTATAGAAATTAATTTTATATTATCTAATAAATAAAATGTAAATACAAATTAGATATCCAAATTAATCTTGTTGATAGATTATAGATAGATCATAATCTAATCTGTTTTTTATTTTTGTTTTTTCCATAAATATTTTTCAATTAATAGTTGAAATTCAATTCTTTTTTTGGAGTCAAAGATCATTAAAGTTAGGTTCGTCTATATCATTAAAGTTATTATAATACAAAACTCAATTGACCTGGTTATTGAATCACAACCCAAATAAAACATACCTAAGTTATTGAATTAATTAATTTTAATTGAGGAAAGAGTTGTTATAATAGTAGCTTGGAGATGGGCTTTTTAGTGGTCCTTGTGTTGAACTTTTGCATGGATCTTGCAGATCTCCTTAAGCCCATGCTATTTGTAGTTCTTTTTTTCTTCTTTACAACATTTTTTTATATATATATTTTTACGGAAATTATTCTATGTAATATATAAAAATTATGTTATACAAATAAATTTCATAACGTAGAATATATATTTTTTTGTTTGTAAAATGTGTGGAGGGTGAAAATGAGAGGGAGGAGTATTTTAAGAGTGAAAAAAACCTAAAAGAAAGAGGGAGTGAAAAGAGAAAAGAAAAAGTGTAAAAGTCATGGCCCTCCTCTAACATGTGTTGTTAAGTTTTCGATTAGTGTGACATTGAAGAAAGATATAAATATAACAAAAATTTATAAAAGATCTTGTAAACACAACATTGCTGATGCTCAGGAAGGAAATTCCCAAACTATTCTAACTCACTCACATGCATGCTATGCTATATTCCTCTCAGAATCAACATAGAATGCAGGGAAATCTCTTCAATAAATGTATTACATGACTCAGAACTGCAAACAAAACAAATTTAGAGTGACAAGATATGAAATGGAAAAAAAGTATCTAAGAAAACAACCAAGAAGGGCAGGTTCTCTGAGTCTGATCCAGTTCATGGACAAACACAGAAAAAGGGGGCCAACTGTTGAATTCCGGTGCATTCTGACACCTGTAAATGAGTGTCAGAGACATCCATAAAGGTGTTAACTATGGCCTGCTTCCAAGATTGAGACATGCAGAGTGTGAATTTCTACTTTCTGAGGCTTAGAACAAGGGATCCCAAGAATCACACTGATAAGAAATGGCCAAACTATACTTTCTTTGAAGCCTGCATGGCACCACTTAAGTATTGATCACTTCACACATCTAGTTAATATTCTCCAAAGTTACTGAAATTTCTTAAATTGTAATGCTTTCAACAACATTTCTTCTTATCATTCTCATTTACAAAAAGTAAAATAAGCATAAATAATTAACCCAAGAAAAATGTAATCTGAAAACAAATCCTAAAAAAATTATACTATAAATATTATACTCTTTAGAAAATTGTTGTTCTCTAATCTATGTCGTAATATATGTATTGAATAATTAATTGAAGGGGACAAATTAATATGTCTAGGGTGGATTTAAGGTGACCTATCTTAACAACCTTGTTTTCTTGTAGATGTCCTTTTACACTTCAATGTGTCTATTGCTTTGCCAAGAAGATAGTGATTGGGTTACTATAATGTAAAGCAATCACTCTTGTTTACTTGTCCACGTTGTTTATCATTTTATCCAATCCATAAGTGTGGCTCACAAAAATTTCCATATATCCTATGCCATTTTCATAAGGTTTAACTTTTCCTATTTCATTGTTTATGTCTTGGGTTTTTTTATTATTATTTATTATTCAGTTTAAATATATATATATATATATATAAATATATAAAATACTTTTTTATTACATGACTTTGAGAATCCCACAAAGTTCCAACATTGGCAAAAACAAAGGTCCAAACAGGACCCAAGAGCCTGATAAAGTACGTATTTATCACTGATGAACCAAACCAGCACAGAATGTACTATTCAACCCAACTGTCTCCTTTGACAACCAGGGGCACGTTAAAGAAATCAACCAAACTAATATTTTTGTTGTTCTGGTGTTCTTTTATCATTATTCTCATGAACTAAAATTAATTTTGGTTTTTCTATTGTGATGGTTGTAGTGTTTGTTCCAAGTTTTTCTAATTCATTTGTGGTTACATGTAATATGAATGAGTAATTTTTCTTTATTTAAAACACAAAACCAATGAATATGCAATAGTCAAAGAAGGAACAACTCAATTATTAATTTTATATTTAATGGTATTCAAATTAAAAATATCAAAAATTAATTACACAAATTTAAAAACTTAATTTATTATTCTAGGCTCACAGAACTTTGGTTCCAAACCCTTTAATTGTTAGTGGAATACTTAAAATTAACTAAAAACTTCACTATGCTCTTGATCATGAATAATAATAAATAATTAAATGTGTCCACGGCATGGTGTGTTTGATTTTTCTCTGGAAGTTTCCTTAGTGGCTACAAAACCCAGTGATGCAAAAATCCGAAACTAACACTACAGCATAGTGTGTGTGAGTGTGAGGATGCAGTGGAAAAAAACATAGCAGATCCACCCCACCCTCCAACGTTATTATTTTATCTTAATTTCTGGTTTTCGTGACATTATTTTGTGTTCATTAATAGTTGAATCTGGGATGCCCCAAACTCCTAGAACTGTTAGTGTTTACAACTTTCATCTTTGCCCAGTATCCATATCCACACACACTTCAAAGGGTTAAAAGAAAAAACCCACTTCTGAGAACATATCAGGAACAAGAAGAACAAAGGAACTTCACTAGTGGTGGAAAAGCTAGTCATATTTTACTGTTTTTTTTTTTCTGCTTTTTCTTTTCTGTTGTGCATGTCTGACTGATATAAGCTCATTTTCTTTGACTGCATTGCAACTTGTGGGGTGTCACCAAATCATTGCATTCTCACTTTTGTCTGGGAAAGTTAGGGTCTTTTGAATTTACATTTGCACATTCCTTTGGTTGAAACTCAAACCCCCCCTTTCAACTTTTTAAGATTGGCGGGGGAAACTACTATTAGGGTTGATTCTGATTCGATGGGGCGTTTGAATTGCAAGAAGATGAGGGGAAATGTTGTTTTGGCAAGTGAGGAGGGAATGTGAGGTTGACGAGGAAAAAGAAGAAGAAAACAAGGGGTTGAGTAAATGAGTGTTTTGAGACATGGGGTGTGTGTTTGGGAAAGGAGCATCAAAGAGGAAAGAGGAAGTGGAAGTCGGAAAGGCAGAAGAGAGTGTGGTTCAGAACGGTGGGAATGTGAAGGAGGGTGGAGAAGAAGTAAAGAACAAGCCCTCAAAAGGGGAGAGGAGGCGATCTTCGAAGCCGAATCCGCGGTTGAGCAATCCACCTAACCATGTACATGGTGAGCAAGTAGCTGCAGGGTGGCCCTCTTGGCTCTCCAAGGTTGCAGGGGAAGCTATTAATGGGTTGATACCTAGGAGAGCTGACACTTTTGAAAAGCTGAATAAGGTAAAGAGGTTGATGACTGCTTTGCTTTCTTTTCCAGCATAAGTACGTGGAACTTGGCTGTTTTGATTTCAAATTTGAAGAGTTGATTGCTTTTGTTGTTCTGTTTTCAAATGTAAGCAACATTTGACAATAGTATCATGAAGGCTTTGGGATTTGATTTTTTCTGTTATCTTGGAAATTATTAATTGAAAGCCCTTCTATTGAAATGTCTACTTCCATTCTGTTCCTGTAAAGTTGACAAAAATCTGGTCTATAACTGGCTTCTGGACTATTTTTCAATCAGGTTGGACAAGGTACATATAGCAATGTTTACAAAGCAAAGGATACTTTGACAGGGAAAATTGTGGCCCTAAAGAAGGTCCGCTTTGACAATTTAGAGCCCGAGAGTGTAAAATTCATGGCCAGAGAGATCCTTATTTTGCGCCATATGGATCATCCCAACGTTGTCAAACTGGAAGGTTTAGTGACTTCAAGAATGTCGTGCAGTTTGTACCTTGTGTTTGAATACATGGAGCATGACTTGGCTGGACTTGCTACAAGTCCAACAGTAAAGTTCACAGAGTCTCAGGTATTTACACATTACCTTGCTTAATTTAAAATCTGGAACTAGAGTTGGTCGAAATTTATGATTCAAATAAGTCTTCTGTTTCTGATTTGGAACTTCTTTTCTTGGTCATATCTGGGTATATTAGGTTAAATGTTACATGCATCAGCTACTTTCTGGACTGGAACACTGTCACAACCGTCTTGTGCTGCATCGTGATATAAAGGGGTCAAACCTTCTGATTGACAATGAAGGAATTCTTAGGATTGCTGATTTTGGATTAGCTTCTTTCTTTGATCCTAATCAAAAGCACCCTATGACCAGCAGGGTGGTTACTTTATGGTATCGGCCTCCAGAGCTTCTCCTTGGAGCCACTGATTACGGTGTAGGAGTGGACCTCTGGAGTGCTGGCTGCATTCTTGCTGAATTGTTGGCTGGCAAGCCTATTATGCCTGGTCGAACTGAGGTAATCTTTGAATGATTCATTTCATTTTATAATTTCTCTAGGATCACCTTTCAAGAACATAAGATGTTTCACTTTACTAATAAATGGTGCAAGATTTTGTTGCTCATGCTGAGAGGTTTGTGCTTCTGATTTTGTTGATATATGTCCACTGTGCTTGGAAGGTGGAACAGCTACATAAGATATTTAAGCTTTGTGGTTCTCCTTCTGATGAATATTGGAAAAAATCAAAGCTACCTCATGCTACCATTTTTAAGCCCCGTCAATCATACAAGAGGTGCATAGCAGAGACATTTAAGAATTTCCCAGCATCATCCCTGCCACTAATTGAGACCCTTCTCGCAATCGATCCAGCTGAACGCCAAACTGCCACAGCTGCATTGCATAGTGAAGTAAGATAACAATTTAATCACTAGTTAATCCTGTGAAATCACTTATCTCGGCTATTTTCTTAAAAAAATATGATAGGATTGCTACATCTAATTGACTGCTCCCTTCTTGTCATGTTTTAATTCATAAGTAGAATAAGTAATTCTGGGGGTCAGGTTCAAAGTTCAAATCCTGGAAGGCAATTGGTGGGAGTACCATCTAGTCACTGAGTGCTTGATGTGTTAAGTCTCAGCAATTCCCCCAATTTTGCATCCTAATGAATTACAATGCCATGGAATGATATATTATCGAGGACCATCTTAAGATAGTTAGACAACTTCCCTTCCTTTTATCTCCTCTTTTATTGATGTTGATTAACTAAGTAGGAAGCTGCTCATGCTTTTGCGAGAGTGCTTTTGTTGTAATCACGCAACTCATACGAGCATCTTTACTTTTGCTTTGTTCATGTCTATACCACCTCCTGTTGACTTTTATTGCTGTAGTTTATTCGTTAATCTAAAGTTCTGGATTGTCAGGGCTTTATTTGTCAGTTACCAAGAAATAAATTCTGAGCATGAGTTGAACTTTGTCTCACAAAGGTGATAAAATCACTTAAATTGCGTATATTGGTGGATGAACTAGTACTACTAAACTTCATTTGGAATTTTATTTTCTTGGATTGTTTTAATCTATATTTAAAGAGAACTGGGGTTGCTTGTCATTGATGGAAAATGACAGGGATAGCTATATGTTGGTGGTTGTATATAGTTTTAAGTATAACATATGATGAATTATGCTTGAAATCCTTATTAATAATTTAATATAAGAATCTAAGTCTAATGTTAATTTCTTCTGTTTTGCAGTTCTTTACTACAAAACCTTATGCTTGTGAACCCTCTAGCCTTCCAAAATATCCCCCCAGCAAGGAGATGGATACAAAACTACGAGATGAAGAAGCTAGAAGGTGGATAACTTAAAATGCTTTAGACTTCAGAACAATGATTTCATCAATATATTTAACCACTGGATATAGATGAAGCTCTCAATCATCTTTAGAATTCTTTTTTGCATAAAAATCTGACGAAGTTTGTATATTAAGTTGCTTTGCCATTCAAGTCACTTCTTTTTCTATATTTGTTCATCTATCCCTCTCCTTGTGAACTTTCTCTCATTCTCTACCTCTCGGTGATACTGGTGGGATCAGAAGATTTTCTGAAAGAAATACTGAAGATACACAAATTTCATTAATTTAATTTTAATGTTTCATGACTGTAGATTGAGAGCTGCTAACAAAGCTAATGCCGGTGTCAAGAAATCACGTCCACGTGATCGAAGTGGAAGGGGAATGCCAATTCCAGATTCCAATACTGAATTGCAAGCAAATATTGATGTATGTCAGATAAGCACCTCATTCATTTGTGCAAATACTTATTCTCTTGGTGAAAACTTTGATATTCACTAGCATCCATTTGTCTAAAATAACACTTGAAATGCGTCTCCGATCCCCTTCTCATCTCTTCCCAGCTAACTGAAAAATAAAGCATTTTTCCAATTTTCATAAAGTGGCATTGATATATACAATGCGGTTGGTTCATATTAGAGCTTACTTTTATGTCTCAATACTGTAGTAATGGTTTAACTCTTATTACAGAGATGGCGACTGGTAACACACGCAAATGCTAAGAGCAAGAGTGAGAAATTTCCTCCCCCTCATGAAGATGGAACTCTAGGCTATCCTTTGGGTTCTTCACATCACATGGATCCAATTTTTTATCCTCCTGATGTTCCATTTAGTTCCACAAACTTATCCTATCCTAAATCAAATATCCAGACCTGGTCTGGTCCATTGGTGGAAACTAGAGTGGATGCACCAAGGAGAAAGAAGAACATGGTGGGGAATAGGCACACACAATCAAAGAAGGACTCTTATAGATAGAATGTGTCAAAGAGTATTGAAAATTAATTAAAGAACTGCACCAACTATTTTAAACAAGCATTGGTGTCTGGTGAAGCTGCAAAAGTGCTGCTTAATCATTGTCTTGCTTCTAGTTGGTAAAGGCATGGGCACCAGGAGGTAGAAGATATTTTATCTTTCTCAATGATCAAAGGTTTATTCCCTATCTTGTATAACAATCACACATAAATTTCTGCATGTGACTTATGCTGAATTTTATACAGACTTTTCATTTAGGCTTTTTTATTATTCTTCATGCTTTGGTATATCATGTCCTATTCATGATTCAGCATCTAGTTGGTTATGTTTGAAGAGAAGAGATCGCATGTGTTTTTACAAAAAAAATTGAACGTCTTTGGACCGAGCTTCTTGTATGATTAAGATCTCTTATCTCTTGATGTCTGAACCAAAATGCAGATCGAATGGAGCAGAATATGAGATATTCAATCATTGTCTTATAAATTAGTTATTTTCAATATGAATCGAGTATACTATTGTCGAGAGATGAAACTTAATAAATTGTTTTTTTATCTCTAATTTTTTAGGTACAATTACTTTATATGACCTAAAATTATTAAATATATTATATAACATACTAAAAAAATTTTAGAACATGCATCGTTAATTATTAAACTTTGTAGTTTTATTGGAAATTCGGAGTTGTATCTTGGTTGTAACACTTTATCTATATGCATATTCTATGAAAACATTCGACCCAGTTTAATTATTAATTGTTTTGATTATTGGAAAACATTCGACCAAGCTTAACTATTAATTGATTTGACGAATCTAGTGGTTGGGTAAAAAAGTTGAAAAAAAAACTTAATAAGATGAAAAAATAATCCTAACGACTAGAATAATTATAATCGATATTAGTTAAAAAAGAAATTAATCGATTTTTTTTCGATAATTACAAGAAAAAATCTTAATAAATTAAAAAAAATTAATCAACGTTTATGATAAACATCCGTTACAGTATTTTTAAGTTATTAAATATTATTTAACATCAAATTTTTATATTTAGTGGTAAAAAATATTTTATTTAAAAAAAGCAATAAAATAATATTATCTTTTTTAGAATAAAACGGTTAAAAAATAAATCATTTGAACTCTGAATTCAAATTCAGCATGTTTAAAGTTTTTTTATAATTTTGAAATTCTTTATTACTGTAAGTATTTTATCAGCAAAATAAAAGATAAAAAACTAACATGAGTAATTATGAATTAAGGTCATCTCTGACACATTCTTAACCATGTTCTTATTGACAATAACGGGTCCTCAACAAGTTCTATAATTGGAGCATGTTAAGGTATCATTCAAATGATAAGAATAGTTTTACACAAACTCCTACAATTAGAACATGTTAAAGTATCATCATTTTACACAAAAACTTTTACAGTTGGAGCATGTTAAAGTATCAACCACCACCTATAGAAGAGATAAATGAACAAACCAAAACAAAAATCCAACCTCAAACCAGTTAAAGAAAGCCCATTTATTTGTGTGTGAATGTGAACTAAGTGTGGCAAAGTAATATGAAGATGATATTGAAATATATTTAAAAATATATTGAGACATTGTGAGCATATGTGTGTTGTGGACACATCCATTCATTAGACTGTTTCTGACAGTCAAAATCTATCTCTTTGCATTCCACCATCAATATCCACCAGCACTGCACCGTTACTGGATCATATCCTTTACTTCCAATAATGGATAGGGTTATCCAAAACTAAAAAAAAAGTGTTTGAAAATAATGAGTTGAATTCAAATATGAAAAAACTTATAACCCAACGTAACTGGAATTAGTGATTAAATAAATCAACAAAGAATAATTTTTTTAATTATTTATTTAATTTCTTGAGATTATAAATATAAAAATACTTAATATTTTTATCGCTTGAGTTTACATTTTTAAGACTTAAGTTAAATCACTAATAATATATGTTTGGATGTGAAAAGTATATACATGTGCCAGAACCTTTTGAAGCCTATGATTACCTTGTACTGGTCCCAGCACGTTTTTCTCCTTATAAATATGTGTTTTCTAGTATCTTTCTGGCACAGTTGAAATCTTCTCTATCATTTCTTTCATCCATTCTGTGGGAAAAAATTTTAGGTGGGTGTGGTTTTTGGTTTCTGAGGCTTTGTGTGTGTGTGATGGATGTGTCTTTGATTGGGAGTTCTCAAACCAAACAAGGAATGTCTGCATATATAGAAGTTGGTTTCTGTAATATAAAAGGTAGTTGCAGATTTTCTACTGCTAAGATTTGTTTTGCTCAGAATGTAACGAGGAAGAACCACTGGACACGCTTTACTTTCAGAGCTCATCAATCTGAAGCTGTTGAACACGAGAAACGCTTTTTTTCTCTCCCAAGGCCCACATCGGTTAGTATTTGTGTTTGCTTCCGATAGGAATGTAAAATAAATATTAAATTATATTTAGTGTTAGAGGTTTGCACAGCAAAAAGGTGTCTGCATGTGGGAATTAATTCATTTAATTGTCTCTAAATTTATTCATAATCATCAATAATTTAATCCTTAAAATTATCATAATAACACATCTGAACTAGAATATTACAAACATTTAAACCTTCCTAATTTAATAGTTAAATATAAAAAATATTATTAGTTAAATAGAAACAAAGATTGAAAGATAATAAATGAAATTAAACATTCATAATTAGGTATTAATTTGTCTTACTAATTTTAAGAATTATTTAACTTTTTTGTATAATTAACTTTTTTAAATATATATTTTTATCACTACTGGAGAAAATTTTAACTTTTTTGTATAATTAAATTTTTTAGATATATTTTTTTATTACTATTGGAAAAAGAATTTTTTACATTGGTTAAAATGAACTTTTTGAATTATATCAAATTAAGATATTTTCAAACTCAATACTTTAGAGTTGAAGACTAATACTTCAATTATTGAACTACTATAATTTTTTAATTAATAACTTATAAATAAATTATATTTATATACAAAATATATAAATACAAATATATTATATATTTTGATATATTTATATATTTAATTTTTTTAATTTAATATATATTTTCTATGTCGATTAAATTAAAATCGACATAAAGAGTTTAATTTCTACGTCGATTAAATTCCAACTTACATAAAAAGTGAATTTACCTAAATATCATATCGATGCGAGATAAAAAATTCATAATATTATTAAAAAATACCACCATCTAACATACTATGGGTGAACCCTCGTCATAAAATTATATTTTTTTACTAGTGTATGATTAATTTTTTAAAATATTAAAAAATGATTTTATTTTATTTTCTTTCTCAATGAGTATATATTACAACATTTTTTCTTTTCTTTTTCTTTAAATATATAATTATAATAACAATATTTCTATATTTTTTTAATATAACGATATATTTAATAAAAAATAATATTATAAACTATTACACTAAAAATGGTTTAACAAAATCATATTTATATAGTATAAAATAGAAATATATTTATATTATAAGTGATGAAAAAAACAGTTAAAAAATATTTTCCTATTTTATTGATTTTAAGATTCAGTTAAACATACTATCACAGTTTCAAAAACTAAAATAGTAATTTACTCGTTTATATCGTTTTCTACTCCTCTGTCTACCCACTTAAAAAAACAAATTATCTTATATACCAATATGATCATCAAATGGTAATTTTTCCTTTAAATTATTTGCATTATATTGATGTGGATTTTAAAAGGTTGTAAAGCAGTAACCATGAAAGTTGTATTCTTTTCATTAACTTGGATGGAATAAATGAAAATCATCCATCATATATTATTTGTCTACTCTGAGCAACTCCATCCTCGCCTGTCATTATAATGGAAACTGTTTTGAAAAAAACTGATCTTGGAGAAAAATTTAGTGGCACCCACTTTCAATTTTAGTTGTTTGTATTAAGAACAAATTCTCTTCACAAAAAAAAATTTAAAAAAAATGAAACAAGTACTCATTCCTCTTGTTTTATGTTTCATTCAATTGTGCCAAATAAAGAGCAAAAGTTTATACCTTTACACCATGCACTCAGTATATGTTAAAAATAACAAACATGCCTAAAATAATATTTTGCAGGAAGATAGTGTAAGATTATTTGTTGGGCTACCCCAAGATGCTGTTTCTCTTGGCAGGAATACAATAAACAAAACTAGAGCAATTGTAGTTGGCTTGAAAGCTTTGAAGCTTTTAGGAGTTGAGGGGGTGGAGCTCCCAATTTGGTGGGGAATTGTTGAGAAGGATGTCATGGGAAAATATGATTGGTCAAGATATCTTGCCATTGCTGAGATGGTTCAAATACTGGGTCTCAGGCTCCATGTCACACTTTGCTTTCATGGATCAAAAGCACCAAACATTCCACTACCAAGGTGGGTGTCCCAGATTGGTGAATCTCAACCCAACAACATCTTCTTTACAGATAGGGCAGGACATCATTATAAAGAATGCCTCTCACTGGCAGTTGATCATCTTCCTGTTCTTCATGGGAAGACTCCAGTCCAAGTCTACCACAGTTTTTTTGAGAGCTTTAAGCTTTCATTCTCCTCATTCTTGAGCTCCACAATAACAGTGAGAATTTTCAACTGCAGAATGTATCCACCATCAAATTTATATATAATATTGAAAAAGTATTTATGTCGTCATGTTGCAGGGTATTACCATTGGTTTAGGACCAAATGGTGAGCTAAGATATCCATCTCACAATCAGCTACCTTCTAATCACAAAACTAAAGGAGTTGGAGAATTTCAATGTTATGACCAAAACATGCTCAACTTTCTAAAGAAACATGCTGATGAATCTGGAAATCCTCTATGGGGGCTTGGTGGTCCACATGATGCCCCTACCTATGATCAGTCACCAAACTCCAATAGCTTCTTCAAGGATGGGGGTTCTTGGGAGTCTGCATATGGGGACTTCTTCCTTTCCTGGTATGCTGAACAACTTATAACTCATGGAGAAAGTCTCCTCTCATTGGCAACTTCAACTTTCAGTGACACTGGAGTGCATGTGTATGGAAAAATCCCACTTGAGCATTGTTGGTACATGACACATTCTCATCCATCTGAGCTAACAGCAGGGTTCTACAACACAATTAAGAGGGATGGCTATGAACCAGTTGTGAAGATGTTTGCTAGTAACTCCTGCAAAATGTTATTACCTGGACTGGACAAGTCAGCTGCATGCCAACCACATGAACCACTTTCCAGCCCTGAGATGCTACTTGAACAAATTATGGAAACTTGTAGAATCCATGGAGTGAAGGTTTCAGGACAAAATACATCAGAGTCTGGTGCTCTAGGGGGATTTGAACAAATCAAGAAGATTTTGTGTGCAGATAATGTGTTGGACTTGTTCATTTACCAGAGAATGGGAGCTTGTTTCTTTTCACCAAAACATTTTCCTTCATTCACTCAGTTTGTTAGGAGCCTTAATCCTAAGGAATTGCATTCAGGTGATGAGAAAGAAGTAGCTGATTCACCAACTAAAAACCCAGAATCAAGTGTTAGTATGCAAGCAGCATAATTGAAGTACTTTTTTAGTCGTGTAAATAACACCTTAATATGCAAATAATGTTTGATTACCTTCTCACCTTTTTGCTTTAGTCATGGTATTTATAAGTTAATTTCACATTTAAAAATAATTGACTTCTGATTTTAAAAACAAATATTTTAAAAATTAAAAAACTGAAACAATTGGAAAATATTTCATTTTCCTCATCTTTTTATTTTAAATTTTCAGGTTAATCACATTTTCTTAATAGCTATAACGAATTATATTTTTTTATATTTTATATTAATTTTAATAATATCTAATATTATTTTATTTTAATTTATATTTATTAAATTTTATCATGTAATATTTTTCATATTTTATATTCTAATTTATTATATATCAAATTTATATTAATTAAATAAATATATTTCAAAAAATTTACAAAAATTATAATAATTTTTTTATTACTTTATCCTAATTAACTAAAAATTATCTTACTACATATTTTCTTATAAATTATATATTTTAAATTTATTAATATTTTAAAATATAATTTAAAGAATAATTAATTTATATATAATAAAAAATTTAAATATAGTATTATAATATATAGTAATAACAATGTTAAAAATATGTTATATAAAACATTTATCATACATATTTTAGTATAAATATAATAAATTAAAAAATATAATAAATTAGTTCATTAATAATAATAATATAAAATTACAGATATTTTATATATAAAAAAATAATATATTAAAATTAATTTATTATAATTATTTTTTTTATAAATTTATTATAATTATAATTATTTTTTATAAATAAAAAGTATGGGTCTAAAACTCAACTAACGAAAATTTAATTTTTAACTACACAAAAATTTAACACAATTAAAAAATTTGGTTGCTCTTTCAAAGAATGTTTTAAACATATTAAGTTTTTAATTATTTTATTTATTTATTTACTATTAAGATTATGTTAATTTTGAAAAAAATTACATTATTATTATTATTATTTTTTTTACCCATACAGTTAACATGATATACTAGTCTGTGTATTACGTTGATGCGATTCTAAAGTCGGACACATTTATTAATATTATAGTCTCGTGATTATGATTATGTATACTCTTACAATAAAAAATCCTGACAGACACGTTTATTATTGCTCACGATTATCGTCACAATTATCGTTTAGCCACCACTCACTATATAATCTTGATGTTAGACTTTTTTACTATGGTGGTGATCAGTAACACTTAGACAAGACTTAAAAATAAAAATTTATTAATAAAATTTAAACATCATAGTATAAATAAAACATGGTAGCATAAGTAAAACCCAAACATAATAAAAACTGTTAAATATTCCTGACTTGGGTGTTGGAGTATCACAATATTTTGGAGTAAGAGGCTCAAATACTAACTTCAATAATTCGAAGCAAGACCCAGAAAAAATTTCAAAAAATACCAACGAAGATTGATCTTGTAGATACTCTAGGTTTTGCAAGGACAATTTAAAAATTTATCTATCACTATAAAATAATCCAACTATTTATTAAAGCTTAATTCAAAATTATAATATCATTAAATTAAATTAAGTATAATATACGTAGTATAACATGTTTACATATTTTTCAAATTTTTAAAGATTAAATTCTCATACAATTTTATAAATATTTAGCATAAAATAAAAGTCATTCATGTGCATATACATATTCAAATACATATTTCAAATCAATAATATATTTAAAAAGAAAAATTACTTTGATAGAAATTTTCTAAATTTATTTACTTAATTTTCATACACAAAATTTAATAAAAATAAATAAATCCATTTCACATTATATATTTATTTATTTTTTTCCTCAATTATTTTTTTATTTCTCTTTAATTACTTTTTATTATCTTATTTCTCTGTTTTTATCTAATGTTTTTTTTCTTTTTTTTTCTTCTTTTTCTTTTCTCTAACTTAATTAAATTGAATTTTAATAAAATGAGTCTTTTATTATATCTAAAAAATAAAAATATTTAAATGATTCAAAAATATTATAATTTAATATATTATATTTAAAAAATATTATATAATAAATTTGAAATATTATAATAATAGATATTATTTTTATATTATAATTATTAAGAAAAAAATAAAAATATTTATTTTAAAGTAATTTTTTAATTAATATTATTTAAAAATTACTTAATCTAACTTATTGTCATAATTTAACCTAAATATTAAATTATTAATTAAAAATTAGATTTAACTCATAAATAATTATATATTTTAATTAGATGAATAATTATTTATTATAAAAATAATTTTAAATTAATTATTTATGTCATTATAAATAAAATTATTTATTCTTATAATAAATTATTATCATCATAATTTAAAATAATTAATTAATATTTTATTAATTTCAATATTAATTTTAAAATATTATTTTAATATATTTGTGTTAAATTTTAATATAATAGTTTAATTAGAAAAAATAAGAAAGAGATAAGAGTGAAAAGAAGATAAAAAAAATAGAAAAAGAAAAATAAAGGATAAATATTGATAAAAATTTATTTGAGTATTTTTTTAAAATATATTATTTATAGGAACGATTATATTTCTTACATATCACCCGTTAAATACAGTAATGATAAATAAATAAATAATTTAAAAGCCTTAAATATTCTTTAATTTTCTCTTGAAAAAAATTCCAATGCAACCTGGACCTTCCCAAGTCAGGTGGGCCTTTGGCCCAAACCATGTCTATCAAGCAATGGTCCAATGGTGCTATTAAGCAAGGTGCTGAATCCCTACAAATACAATAGCTGTGATGCAGAACCCTAATATGTCGCATTGTAGTTTTCGAATTCAATTTCGTTAAACCCAGTTTCTTGCTATATCATTGTTGGTGCGTTATCTTTGTCCTCAAAAACTGGTTGAATTTATTTAAACGAAAAGAGATTAAACTGATTTTATTCGTTTCCTTTAATTTGTCGATGCTGTTGCAGAGGTATTAGGGTTACCACAGTGACCGACGAAGATGAAGAAGAGAAAGGAAAAGGCTAGTGTTGTGGCAGAGGGTGATGGTGGTGTTAAAGATTTGGATAGTGAGATCCACGAACATACCCTTTTCTTTGACAAGTTGATTGAGTTGATACCTGCCAAGTTTTATCTGTCAACTGATGACAAGGAGAAGCCATGGTTTCAGGGTCTCAGCAAGGCTGCAAAGGCTGAAGCGAAGAGGGAGACCAAGGAGAATATCAAAAAGTCTCGGAGGGACCGTTTGGACCCAGAAAAACCCGCTGCAACTACCCTTTACCTTCTCAAAGAGAGCTTGGGAAAAGAGAAGGTGGATGATGGTGATGAAGAGCAGGGTGCGGCGGTGGCTAAGCCGCTTGTTTCTGGATTGGAAGGAGATGATCGATCTGTGACTTATGAAGAGCTTCGGCAAAGGCTTCATCGCAAACTTGAAGAGTTTCGGTCAGGTCGTAACTGTGGGAATTCAGAGAAGAGGAGGGATGAGAGAAATGCTAGGAGAGGATTTAAGGACAAGAAACGCAAGAGGGATGATGAAACTGAGGAAGGTAACAATGTGAGTGCTGAGTTGGAGGAGAAAGTAAAGAAGGACGCAGCGGAGGCCTCCAAGGAGCTTGTCTTTGGCCATGTTAAACTTCAGAATGAGGAAATGCTACGGAAGAAGAGAAAACTTTCAAAACATAAGGAACTTGAAAGGGCTAAGAAGTTGGAGGAAGTGAAAAAGAATGATCCTGAGAAGGCTCAAGCTTTTGCCAAGAAGCAATCGTGGAAAGCAGCAATGGATAGAGCTTCAGGGATTAAGGTCCATGATGATCCCAAACTACTGCAGAAAAGCATTAATAAGGAGAAGAAGCAGCAGAAGAAGAATGCAGATAAATGGAAGGATAGAATTCAAACGAGGGACCAGTTGAAGGCGGAGAAACAGCAGAAAAGGTCAGAGAATATAGCTGGGCGAATTCATGAGAAGAAAATGCGAAAAATTGCCAAAAGAGAGAAAAAACTTATGCGACCAGGCTTCGAAGGTCGCAAAGAAGGTTTTATGAATGATGGTGGTGCCAGTTAATATGGTTTTGAAGTTTATTGATTTGTGCCTTTTCTTTACAATATTATTGTCTAGCTTTTGAAGAATCGTTGTTAGAGAATGACAATTCAGCGGGTTAAAAAAGGTGCAACTATCAATTTCTGTATGCTGCAGCATATTTCTTGAAATTTAACCAAATTTATTTTCTATTATTAGCTACGTAAGCACATCATATTCTGGCAATTCGCTATCTCTTGTAACTATTATGAACTCCTTTAATTCAGAATGCATGCAATGATTTTAAAACAAATCCCTTGATGGGATAATTTTTTACCAATAATTTAAGATTAATTTTACATGTTTCTTATCGCCCATTTTGTTTCGATATTTTTATAATTTGTTGTATTTCCATGGCTGTATTATGTTGCACGTGGAAATCATACTTCTTTTTGGTTGGCCAACATTTATATTATATCTCTACTTAGATGTTGCTCTCGAAAACCCTTAGTTTACCAGGTCTGGTCTCAGATTTGTGCTCAATTCGAAGACGTCTCCTTGGTCTGCATAGGAACAGATGGGAAATGTGTTACACTTGGGTGTATACATTGCTCTGTGCTTCTGGAAGGTCCTTCAGTTTTAAAACATTTTAGTATTGCACAACTGAAGGTTTAGGGAGCACTATAAAGTCACTAATACTGTAGTGTTATTGTTTGTTTAGAAGATGCTTGTAAGTTATTTTTGTTTATTTTCAGGAATAACGAGGTTATTTTTTTTTTTTTCAATTTATTGGGAGGTTATAGAATAGTTATACTTTGGCATATCTAGTTATTCCCACATTCAATCATTTGATATTCCCCAGAGGGGGTGGGAATGCATTCCGGATATACCTCTCAACTTACCTGCATATTTCGTCTCTCCTATTTCTTCGTTGTGATGCATGGAAAACTCCTCTTTCAACAATTGAAAAATGAATACCCATTTGACTGTCTTTGGTTGTCAATTATGAAGTTTCTTTTTTCACAGTTTATTTATATTCTGTTTTTTTCTCTTTTTACCGAAAGGAACCTTTTTTAAGAAGGTTTTTGTATTTTGTTTATGGTGCGAAGAAGAATGTTCAGGCCCTTTATATGGTTAAGTCTGTTATTTTTGACATGGTCTGCATTTCAATCATGGCGTCAAGAGAACCAGAAAGTTAATAGGATTCTTCAATGTATTTCTAGGGCGGTCGGCCCTTTCTTCTTGTCTTTTTGCTACAGAACATCTATATGTTTTGATAAAGCTGTCGTTATCTTCAAATTTTCAGAGAGTTCTATAATCAATTAGTTAATGAGATGTTTATTTTGTTTTTACTGGCAGTGGTGGTTCCGTCGGTGTTGATTGTTTTTGTATCTCTTTTTTATGCATATCAAGTTTTTCAACTGCTGTTATAGCTGAAAAATATGTGGCCAAGAATGAATGCAGTTATGAAGTTTAAGAAATTCATGTACACATCAGATACCCTTTCTGCTCTTTTAAACTAAAATTAACTTAATCTGATGCTCACTGCTACAGCTCAATCAGCACACAGATATAACATCATCTTGGAAGATAGTTAATTTTGCAGCCGTACGTGCATCATTAATTTCATGTTCATCACATAAACACTTTTCCTGGCAGAGCCGAGTTCCCTATATACATACATACAGGCAGGCACTGAAAAAGGGAAATAAAGATGACAGTAAATACTCCCTTCTATTCCTTTAAAGAGCTGTAGCACAAAAATTAAACTACACGCACCATGAAAACTGACGTAGAATCAATTCATAAATTGTAAGATGCTTCAATCCTCTTGTGCAAATCTTGTAGCTGTTGAGCTAACAGAGTCATGAATTTCTGGATAAGTATTCAATTTCCTTCTTCAATCCATCTTTCCGCTTTGAACTTATTCCGCTCATGACCAAGCAAATTCACTTTTGAGGCTGTTTTTCCAGGATTTGTAAAAATCATTGAAATTTCGATGTCCTACATTTTTTAACAAAATTTCCCAATTTGCTATCTAAAGGGGTACTAGCAATGATCAATACCACATCTCTATTGGGTAGTTTTCTTTCATCTTCATTGCTATTATTAATAATAAATCTGCAGAGAACCATTTTAGAAAGGGACATGAGTTAAAATCGATAATTTACACCAAGTTACGATAATTTATAAAGATTTCAGTTATAAAAAAATCTTTATAATGTAGTTATAATATTTTTCTTTATTTTTATTAATTACAGTAAAAATTAATATCTTTTTCATGATAGGGGTGCTTTATTAATTCCAATATGCCCTCTTTGAAACACATTTTAGTTATTCCTATAAATATTTTTAAAGAGTTTCAATAAATTTTAATTGTTAATTATACAGTTTTTAAAATATTGGTGAACCTTAATTCTATATGGGCATGAGCCGCTTTTTGTAAGAAGTGATCCATTTTTCTCTAAATTGATCAAGATTGGTCGCTTTTTAAAAAATTATGAAAGTCTTTTATTTTGTAAAACGATTTTAAATATGAAGAAGTCGTGCTATATGATTTCAGTGTAATTGTTTTAAAACGGAAGTAGTAAAACGATTGCAATTATATCCAATTTTTTAAATTAATAATTTATATATATAAATTAATAATAAATTATATATATATATATATATATATATATATATTTATGTATACACCATTATAAATATATTATTATAAATTACTTTTCTTTAAAGAGAATTAAATTTTATATCCAAATTAAATATATATATATATATATATATATATATATATATATATATTATTATACGCTCTCAATTCTACATCATTTTTAAGTTAAGAATAGTTTATATATATTATTTCTTAATTATTATTAAGTATATAAAATTATAACATAAAAAGGACAATACCTAAACATAATAGTATATCTTAATAATATTAAACATGAGTTATATATATATATATATATATATATATATATATATATAAAATTAATTTCAGTTAAAATTTAAAATAAGGATAAATTAAAGTTACTAATATAATTAATAAATTTAGTATTTATATTTTAAATATTATATATATATATATATATATATATATATATATTATTTTTACCTATATTTGAAAGGTTAACCGAATTTTTCAATAGGTCTTGATTGCATCAAAGAGTAAGAGAACCACGTAGAAAGGTTCTCCAATACTTAAGTTAATCTAAGTAAAAAAAAAATATAGACATCAAACCTTTTTATTTTGTCGAACATTTACTTATTATGTCTATTGTGTTGAATATTTCGGACAATTGTTTTATCTATATTATAATTGAATAGGTATATTTACATATAAAAATTAATTACTTTTTTAAACAAAATTAATTTATTGTGATATATAAATATTGTATAATATATAGAATATTTAATATATATTATTAATATTTATAATTATTTTTATATATAATTTTAAAAAAAATGATATAACTAAAATCTTTTTATATAACATAATTTTAATTATAACTGAAATCGTATGACTTTAATTTAAAAAAAAAATTTATACTCAAATCACGTATCATTTACTTTTATACATTCAAAGTGTGTTTCCCGAAACACGATTTAATTTATTTTTTCATTTTTTAAAAAAGTGATTATTCTGATAAAAATGTGAAAAAACAAAAAAAACCTTTTTAACGAAGAAAAACGCATGTAACTAAATCTTAGTAGGTGGAAAAGTAAAAACCGAGAGGTTTGTTTATGTTAACATTGGATATCAAAACTTTTAACAGCATGTTTAGATTGGTGTTTTGGATCCACGTTTTCTAATAAATTCACATCCAAAATTTTCCAAATTCGTGCAAAAGCAAGTATTAGTTGCTGATCCAACACAAAAAAGCTCATCCAAACATGCACCAAGTTGTACTCTTTTCCTCTCGTATGAATTGTTTGACTTATTATTTCTCCTAAATTCGTTCTCAGCAATAAAAAACACTCAACAAATCCATTGTGACTGTTCTTTATCTCTCATTCCTGTTGAATGGTGTTGGTACTTTAATTAGTCATTTCTACGTCAAAGTTTGCAAGACACCAATAGTCAATAGTAGTTCTCTTAATTTATTTTGTATTTTAAAAATGTTACTTATTCAAAATTTGATGTCAGTTGGTTGATAAGCTTCTAGCTCTTCCATAGTTAAGTGTGGTTTTGCCTATCTCAAATCATGTCCTGTTTTGAATAAAATTATTATAGATACAAGCCTGAATTTTGTCACGAGTGCAGGGACAAATGAAGTGCACGAGAATACTATTATACGGGTGGGACACGTGGATAATAATGATGAAATCAGGGTGACCCGCAAAAATTATAGGAAAAGATTAACTAATTCTGGCCTAAGGATTACGTTTGGGGTTAAAGTAATTATAAAAGAAAAAAAAAAGGAAATGAGGTGAGTGAAATTTATGACTTGTTCTCCTTTTTCCCTTATCCTCTTTGGGATTTCTTTTATTTATTGTTTTTGTTAATTTCATATTCCTGTATCCGTTATCACTGCCTGGTGTTAGCCTTTTTCTTTGTAAGAGTTAAGAGGGGTAAAAGAGGATTTATAATTCAATAGGATATATATATATATATATATATATATATATATATATATGTATATGTATATATATATATATGTATATATATGTATATAGTATAGATAGATAGATAGATAGGATTATAATATTTAAAACAACAATCACCAACCACCAACTATATATAGGATTATAATATTTAAAACAACAATTTCTAACCATCAACTATTAATCATTAACCATTAACCACTAACTAATAATAATTCTAATAATTTCCCTCAAGCTGAAATATACAAATTGTCTGTGTCAAGCTTGAAATAAATAAATTCAATTCGAGGTCTTCTTAAAGACTTTGTCAACATATCTGCAAGTTGATCATTGGACCCAACAAATTCAGTGCAAATTTCTTTAGACAATAATTTTTCACAAATAAAATCACAATCAAGTTCTACATATTTGGTCATTTCATGGAACACTGGATTAGAGGC